GACCTTGACCAAAAATGGCTTATTGATTTTTGTGGTGGAAGTAAAATGGCATCAATATTTCATGTGTCTTGTGAAAATAAATTCATGGGACTTTAAAGAAGCAAATGTCAGTGTTTTGCTTCTTTTGTATTTGCAGTGAAAAACATCATAAAAGTTCAAAAGCTGTCAAACATGTGCTGCTTCTATAACACCTGTGCTAGGAAAAAGGTCTTCATCTAAAATGATCTGAACTTTTGTGTAATTTCTCCCCTCTCAATAAATAAATGAATTACTCAACAGTGTGAGTATGAGGTTGACTTGAGATGTACAAATGAATAATCTTCCTTCATAAATTTCATGCTCCATTGATACCTCATAGCAGAATAAAGTCTGAGGAACATCTTCAAAATTTCAGATTGATAACATGATGATAGTAATCATTAACACTTACTTGGCACTAACTACCAGGCATTGTGCCAAATACTTTATATGCTCTCTCTCTTTTACTAATTCTAACTTCCCTTTGAGGTAGATCCTAGTATTCCCATTTTATGGATGGGGTCACACGGAGGTTAAGTAAACTACTTATAGTCCTAAAAATAGGAAGTGGTTGGTTTGGCCTGGGACTGAAACACAAGCCTCAACTGGAGTCTACACATATTGGGAAGAGAAACCTGTGAGAATTCTGTTGGGTTAGGTGAGTTTTTGTTCTACAGTCACCTTTATTAACTTATGCAGCTCTGTGTTGGCATTTGCTTTGTGGAACCCCCTTCTTTCAGTTGTTCTGTGCTGGACCATTAGACTCCTTGAGAGTAGAATAATTTATTTCTTTGTGATTGTACAGGACCTAAACTTTTTATGCAAGACAGTTAGATAAAAGTCCTGATACATAATAAAGTCTTTGGAAGAAGATGGGGGAGAATAGCTGGCACATCTTTGTAGCTTCCCTATAAAATAGCAAAGGCTAGAGGCAGTGTTCATCAGCACTGCTTCTGGAAATAATAGAGCTCTCTCTCTTGTGTTTTCAACATTTCCATAGCTTGACTTCAGAATTGCTAATGCGGTGAGCTTTTCTGACATACCTGTGTAGGGAGGACTAAGCTTTTATTCTATCTTCTTAGGTTCTGTTTCTGAGTTCTGTAAGTGAAACTGACAGATTAACAGGAGAAAAAAAGGCTACAGATTTATTTATGTATTTATTTTTGGAGAACAGAAAAGGTGGATAGCAGCAGGCAAGATAGGAGAGGTCTGCTGTGCAAAATACAGATATAAGTGATGTTTTTAATATTTTTATGCAGAAGGCCTATACAAAGAAAGAAGTGAAAACTTGAAGAAGTGATTAGAGTTGGAAGTTTAATACCATTTTAATGAAGGGAAAAGTTACTGGACAACAAAAGAAGAGTTTTAGGGACCATAAATTATGTGGGTAAGTATATGGAGAAGCAAGTGGAATATAAGGGTTATTTTATTCAATGTGTTTATGCAGACTCATCTAGATGCCATCTTTGGCGACAAAGGTTGTTCCCCTCTTTCATGTATGGGAGCAAGAATCATCTTAACAAGGGGAATTTATGTCCTACCTTTCGGTACATATGGAGAGGGTAGAGGAGTTCTTCCTATGTCTGTTTTTTCTTAATTTCCTTTAGCTCAGAATAACTCTGATGCCAGGGTGGAATGTTTGGGTATCATATCATCATCCCCTTCCCCTCATACCTCATACCCAAGGAAGAGGAGAGAGAAAAGCAAATTTCAGTGGGTTGCTGTGCTCTGTCAAGATTCTCTATGAATTTATCAATCATTGTCAGCATTTTCTCACTTTGAATTTTTGAAAGTTGTGAGGCAAATTCCTTCACTTACTCTTGGGTAGGAGTTGGGGGAGAGTTTTATATTTGTGCTTTTTGATTGGCATGGGATTTTTACATTCTTCAGCATTTTCCAGGTTTGACAAACTACTTTTTTTATATTCTTGGGACCAGAAAACAAACTCAAGATAGGTCTTTTATGCCTATTTTTTCCTGTTTCCCAGAAAGGTAGTTTGAATTCAAATTTAAAAAGAGCTGTAAACAGCTGAAGTTATTTCCTGCTAAAGGGACAGCCTCAGATCCCTTATGAGTATCTGAAGTCCTAGTGAGTCCTCTGGGTATCCCTCCATGGCAAGGACTTTGCTTGGTTCTGAGAATCTCATGGGTTTTATTTCAGGATTCCCTCAAGGAGGGGCATCTTGAACCTTTTCACTTACAAGAGCCAAAGAAATGACTTCTGCCTGGAGAATATTCTGGAGTGACTGTGTCTTTCAGAAATCTTCTGGTCAAATCTATAATTTGGGGGACAACATCTCCAATTTCTAGCTCTCTGATTATGGATGAGTGTGGCTAGGCTGAGAGAAGCCCCTCCAAGCCTTTTGACATGGTTGGAAAGTATCTTAGATTGCAAGAGATTTACAAGATTCCACAGTCACATTTCCTTGCTTGAAAACCATATTCATGACTGTTCTAATATGTTGTCTGCCCAGCTTTTTAGGTTTCCTGGCTCCTTTGGGGCTTATTGTTTGGAAGAGTCAGTGCAAGTTTGTCAATAGTAGCCCTGAGTCTACCTAAACTATTTCGTGGCCAGAAACTGACAGTGAAACATTTCAACAGAAACCAAGCCCTCCAAAGTGAACTTTCTAAATGGTGTGCTGAATCTGAGAATTTCAACCTTATTTTTCTGTTGGGTAAAAATCATTCTCTTTTATTGCCCTGTACTCACTTTTATTTTATTTTTTTAAAGATTTAATTATTTATGCATACAAGAACTGGAGTATAAGCCAGAGGTGGGAGAGGGGCGTGAGAGGATTCACCAAACCCCGTGTGGGCTGAGGGTCCGCGAACGCGCTCACCAGCGCCCCCTACCGGCGGCCCCTAGAAGTGCACCTTTGCGTAAGCACAGTCTGTTGGGCGGGATCAGGCTCCGACCGGGGGCGGAGCCTGGGACTCATCAGCGCTGCTGGGCCAGGTGAGGACTCTTCCCCACTGAGTGGTGCTGGGTTGCCGGGGCTTTCCGCGCCGGCCTGTCTGCCTGCAATTTTGGAAGAGGCCGCGGTCGCCGCCCGTCTGTGGCTTCCAGGGGTTGCCCCCCGACAGTGACCCCGCCCATCCCTCATAGGCTTCCTGGAATCAAAGTTCAAACCTTGCTTTGTAAAATTGCTCAGCGTTCACTCCAGGAAGGAGGGTTGTCAGCACTTCTTTAAAATAGGGACGGTAATAATTTTTCCTTTAAGAGACTGGTTCTCAGGCCTCCGGTTGCTCTGTCAGTTACTTAGGTCTCACACAAGAAACCAAAGCCTTTTTTAAAAAGAAAATAATGTATATATACAGGGATTCTGACATAATGACATTTTTAGGAAAATATAATTATATTAATGGGAATAAGTTTTATTGCTATAACTTTAGAATGCACAAAAAAATGTATTTGTACTTGTTATTATGATGCTCTTGAGTGTTAGCTTTCCACTAAGTATCTTTGAAGCCAAAGATAAAGATCTGCAATTTGTCAGGACTGTTGACAGAGAAGGTGAGTTACTTCTGCAGCTGGACAGTCAGTATCAATGAGAGCAAATTCCTAATCATTATTAGGGAAGCCTGCAATTTAGATGACCAATGGGTCTTGGTGGAAAGCAACTGCCCTAGAAAGTAACATTCTCCGTCTTCTATCCCTGTGGGCAGCGAAGTTATTTTCACTGTCTACTCATCTGCTTACTAAATTAGCATATGGTTTTGTACACACAAGGATTGGGAGGGAATCAGGGGTGTTCCTAGAAACGTGTAAGGGCAAATTCTAATCTCTCAATCATCTGTGACTGAGACCTGTGACTCTGTTACAGGGCAGGGAGAGGGGCACTCCGGACCCCGCAAATCTGCCTGTTCTAAATGGGTTCTGCCATCTGCCGCATCAACACAAAACATATGAGACTTTAATGGGAAGGAACTTTAATACAATTAGGAAACAATACAGAAAAGACAAGGAATATAGTTTCTTTTTTTTTTAAAGATTTATTTATTTATTTATACAAGCACTGGGTACAGTCAGAAGCGTGAGAGGGTGAGAGAATTCACCAGAGCCAGAGCGGGAAGCGGAACAGGCAGACTGACGAAATACACTGCTGAGGGGAGCAACGGGTGGCAGGAGAGGTCTGCGCGCTTCGTGGGACCCTCGCCGGCGGCCGGGGATCGAACTGGTGCTGCAGAGGCTGCGCGCAGCCTGGCAACCCAGCGCTCAACCACTGCGCCACTAGGGGAGGCCCCGGAATATAGTTTCTAAATCAAGCACCCAAAGTTACCCGTCCTCTCATGGGTAAAAGTCCACCCAAATGGGATTGGCCCAGAGCAAGGCCCCAAAGCCTGCCACAAGTCTAAAGCATCTTCCAGTGGGGACCCACAGAAAAGGATCAGAAACAACCAGACAAGTCTGGAGGGAAAAGAGCAAAATCAACATCAAGACAAAAACCGTCACTGTCACCTCCCCACAGGTCTCTCACCCACATCTGTGTCAACCAGTCCATGACCAAAAGGCAAGAGTAGTTTCTTCACATGTCTCTCTGCTCCATGTGCCTCCTCCAAGTCTCCTTCTGGCTCAGCTCTCCATCCTGCTTCTTTCCTTCCTCAGTCTTCTCTGTAGCTTCTTCTCTCTGCTCAACTCAGAGTCTCTCTGGAACCTCCCCCTTTCCTGGGGACCACCCTATTACAACTCCAGGCTAAGAAAAAGTTAAGATGATCTTTTCCTAGAAGCCTATTAATGAAAAAGTTAAAAAAAAGTTTATGAGCAACTTACAGCTTTAGGAATGGGTATGAAAGGTGCCTTGGGCCTTGTAGTGACTGATGTTAGTCACTGAAGGTGTGCGACCCCGAGAATTGTCACAGCCCCCTCCCCACATACTTCCACCCCCTGCACCCTTCCCCCTTGAGTTTTTTGTAAGACTGGTCCTGTAATTACCCTATTTCAATTATAGATTTTGTAGACCACTGCTTTTCCTTTAGTTTTGGCCTTGTCATTCTCTAGGAGAAATCCTCAGGGATTCCAAACTCTTGGGCCCCTCTTCCTCCTTCCAAAGATCAATTCTAGGATGGAGCTGGAAGGAATTAGGCTTAGTGAAACAAATCAGAAGGAAAAAGAAAAATATCAGATTTTTCTTTCTGAAGTTTCACTTATAGGAGGAACATAGGGGAACTCAATAAGGGATCAGGGAAAAAAATACAAAACTAGCAGGCAACTATAAACCTGGAGTCATTCAGCAGAGGAGGGAGCAGGAGAGGGATCAAAACAGGGGCAGGAAAAGCACAAGAGACTGTGGTGATGATGCATGGGTGACTTGATGGTAAGAATTTTATGGGGACTACATCTGAGAGGAGAAAGCAAACTACAAAAATGAACAATCATGTAAAATTTATATAGAGAAATAAATGGAAAAAAAAGCAAAAATCAAATCTAGTTGGGGCAAAAACTTAAACATTGGTTTGGGTTAAGATTTTTCCCTGGCCTTTTCTGGGATTAGTAGGATTCTTTGATATTTCTTCTAGTTGTTCTGTTCCTAAACAATCTTGACTTTCAGGGCCAAACTAGTTGGAAGGTGGGAAGGATCTCTTTGCCTGAGGCATCCCCCTGCCTGGCCTGAACTTTCATCGAGATGCCTGATCCAGGAGGCTGGTGGGTATGGTGCCCACTAGAGGTGTTCTGCCCAACTTCCCCAGGGCCACCAGGCAAGGCTGACAACTTTCATGATTAAAAACATGACTTTTAGGAACATTTCAGACCATTTAAAGGAGCACTGCGCTGTGATTTGAGAGAGGAGGCAGTTAGGGCAACCATTTTCCACTTTCAAGGTTAACGTCTTAGTGAATAAATGATTTTGGAAAAAATGAATGGTTTAGACATCTTGTTGCTTTCCTGTAGCTGGTGCCTCTGAATCCACAGAATTTGGTTCTGTCGTAACTGATGTCAGTGTCAGGACTGTCGGGTTTATTGAGCAGGGGTCCTCAGGGTACCTTCTGAGAAAATTTCACCGGAGCTCCCTTTTCAGCAGCACGTGAGCTTCCCCACAAGGCAGAGATGATTAGTTATCTCCAAAAGGGCAGGTTTATTCTATAAAAAAGGAAAAGCAAAAAGACTGCTTGCAGTCACAAGAGGGCAGAAAGAGCTGCCTTTGAAAGGGACAGGTTTGCTAAAAGAAATGCTTGTATAGACACACAGGTGGGCAGGAGAGCTGTCTCTTGCCAATGCAGAAATTGTACTGATAAAGTCTTCTTTTTGGGAGGGATTTGTTCCTTTGTGGAATTGTTATGCATTGTTAAATTAATTACTTCTAAGGTTTGACTAGGTTGTTTTGTAAGGACCAGTAATTCTCTACAATGACCCTCAATCTCCTTATCCCTACCTCTCTAGTCTGCGCCTCCAGATACTTTTTTAAAAGGATTTATTTATGCATGCATGCAAGAAATGGGTGCGGGGCGGGTGAGAGGATTCACCAGAGAGAGTAGGGAGCAGAACAGGCAGATCCCCTCTACACTGCTGAGGGAGGCAGTGGGTGTGGCACCATGTGGGTTGCTCCCTGCCCGCTAGGGATCTAACAACTGGTGCTGCAGTGGCTGGTGACAGCTTGACAGCACTGTCTTTAACCTCTGTGCCACCAAGGAGGTCCCCCTCCGGATACTTTCCATAGCAGCCTGACACTTGCTATAGCAGTTTGGCAGCTAAGGATTTTTCATTTCTATAGCTGGTTTAACAACTATGCTAATCATTTCTACCCCTACCTTCCAGTTTCTGATCTTGTGATGCCAACATCCTAAATTATCTACTCTTAGCCTCCATCAGTAACTTTGTACTTCCCCAGAGTCTCTCTGTTAGCAGGCAGAAAAAAATGAGAGGCACCCCAGGGGCCCAAACCTGCATGCTGTAAATGGGTCCTGCCTTCTGCTGCAAAAAGACAAAAATATTTTTAGTAGTTACAACCTTCAACAGAAAAGAACTTTAATATAATTAGTATGCAATAGGAGAGAAAAATTACATTTAAAACAGTTTCCCCGTGGAACACCCAAAGTTACCCATCCCCTTGTGGGTAAGTGCCCAGGCAAACAGAGTTGCCCCAAGCAGGACCACTGGGGCATGAAAGCTGCCATAAGTCTAAGGCACATTCTGGTGGGGACCCATAGGAAAGGGGCCGAAGGGGCCAGGCAAGTCTAGAAGGTAAAGAACAAAATCAAAATACAATTCAAGATAAAGGCTGCCACTGTCAGTCTCCTCATGGGACTCTTACCCACATCTCTATCTCTTTCATGTGTCTTTTTCCATGTCACCCAAGTCCCTGGTTCAGGCCCAAGGCAGAGATGCAATTGCTGCTGCTTCTTCACACGTCTCTGTGCTCCATGTGCCTCCTCTATGTCTTCTGCCTCCAGCCTTCTCTCCCAAGTCCTTTTTAGCTTCCCCTTGTTGCTCTGCAGCACCCTTCTTTAGGTGGGGCAGGGACCCTGGAACCTCCCCTTTCTATGGGAATTACACTGTTATATGTCTTTTTTGTGGGCCTGAGAAAATTTGAATCCTTTTTTGTGAACTGAGGAGTCCAGTTTTCAAAGTTATCTTTTATTCTTGGTTCTCTATATTTTCCTTTTGTGTTCATTAATATTTCTTATACATCCAGAGCTAGTATTGTTACACAGAGTTCCAGTATTAACTAGAAATGCACCTCAGCTACAGCTTTGGCCCCCATGCGTCCTTAGGGTAAGGTTTCAGT